AACATCTGGTGTTTATTGCTAAGGTGAGATATGCCAGTTTGGCACCGTAAATACAAGCATACTACAAAACGTATTACGTGTGTGGTTCAGTTATAGAAATCACGGCCTATGTGCAATGTTTTAATATTCCAGATGATGCATAGCTTTCCTTGCCATCTATTACAAGTGACTACTTGTTGATTACTCTCTCTCTCTTTTGCACACACACACACACACACGCACACACAAGCACACACACACACAACATACAGCCACTTCAACAGGCTGAATTTTAACAGTCGTTATGGTTTTTTGCATTTATTTTCAGCTTCGCCGTATGGAAAGCCAAGATATAAAAGTACAGCTAAGCCATCTTCTGGACTTGCTGAATCTAGAAAACAATCGTTATACAAGAGTGAAATTTCTCTCCACTGTCTCAAAGAGCGCCCTTTCTTTGGCTTTGTCGCTTATGGGAAACCCAAAGGTAGGTCTTTTGGTTGAAAGTGAATGACGTCGTTAATGACATCGTCATATGACGTAAGGCATTATCACAAATGCACAGACGAGGATGTTTTTGGTTTGACGTTTGAGAAGTAAGGGAGTATTTAATGACTTTTTGCTAGTATTCTTTTATGTTTTTGAGAGTATTGCATGAAGTTTTCTCATCAGTTAATCAGTCAAATAAATGGGACCTTATCTGTACAAAACCGAGTATCCTGTCTAGGCTTGTTAAGGCTTACATTCGCACTTCACCCAGGGGCATGTCAAAAGGTTATATTATTTCAGGTAATAGCTTTAGACGAACCGACTCAAAATATGGACCCGTGCATGCGACACCGTGCATGGGAGGCCATTAACCAGTCTAAGCAAGCGGGTTCTGTGATAGTTCTCAGTACACAGAGTATGCAAGAGGCGGAGGCCCTGGCTGACCGCATTGGGGTTCTAAGGAAGGGATCTCTAGTGGCTTGTGGCACCATAGCGGAGTTAGAGGAAAAATATGGTAGGATGTTGCTAACGTTCACCATGATCTCAAGTGTGGAATATAAATCGGGTGTGGTTCTTTGTTAGCAAAATGAAGAACACGCACGCAAATGTTGCGTTTACATCGAGGATAGGACGTTCCTTCTTGATTCGATCATCTTCCGCTGGGCCGTTTGATGAAGCTAAGGTGCAATGTAGCAATTACAGTGCAACTTTTGTCCTGAGATCGTCATCAGTATAAACACGACTGCATGCGCGCTAGTGGTCAAGATGTGACATTACAGCACTGGGGTTGCTCCTTATGATTCTCTGTATCATCTTACCAAATCTTACCTCATCAAATCTAGCGCAATCAAGTCAGTCCCGAAACTCTCCGGGGTCACGGTAGTGCTGCGTTGTAGAATATTGCACCATCTGTCCCCCACTGGCGGTCATGTCCGAGGGTTTAAGACCTGACCAAGGTCTACCAAGTCCATTAACCAGTACTGTTTCTTGAAACACCCGATTGCTTCTTCTTCTCTCAGAAACTTAGGGGTGATACTTGATGGGCCACTGTCTCTTGTTATATTTTCCATATCTGTGAAGCTGCCCTTTTTTACTACGGTCAGAACGATAAACAACGCAACAAACAGTATAATATTTACTTTATTTTATTTCGTTATGTTTTATTTCAGAAAGAACGTACGTTCTGCGTTTGGTGAAAACCAACTTTTGTCGATCTGAAACAATTAAACAGCTAATTGAAGACGGTATAGAAGGTGCACGAATTATGTCAGAAACAGAGTCCGAGATAAGAATTTCATTACCGAGATCCCAATCACCGAAGTTTGCAGCAGTTTTCGAGCAATTGGAAGAAGAAAAAGCTGCCTTTGGAGTGTCTTCGTTTGGAATAAGCCTTGCAACCCTTGATGAATTATATTTACGGTAATAATAATTACTTTTGTCTGAAGTAGTGTTCCTACTTTTAAACGCTCTGCCTGTATTGAACATGGAATTTTAAGTGTTTGTCAAGTTTCAGTGTTCTCGCGTTTGTACATTTTGTACATTCTTGCATCGAAAACTATTTGTGTACACATGTTGAATCAGATTGTGTTTAGTCCTTTTCCTCGAACGAAAATAATTATTATGCTATCATCTTGTCATTTAAGATACATGAAAATATACAATATAAATGTATATCTGTTGTGAAAATCTTTCTTGACTAGAATTGCTAGGGAATCTGAGATGAAAACCACCTCGGCTAGTACCACTTCCTTTGATTTAACACAGAGTGGATCCCGGCTTCTCACGCGTAAGTACACGGCAGACAAAATGATGAGGCTGCTGCTGATAATGATGACGATGATGCTGATAAAGATGATGATGATGATGGTCGTTTGGAATCTAGAATTTTCTTGCAGACCGCCACTCTTGTGGAAGTTCTGCAAATGGTGCCGATACATACCACGTTCATTCTTATGAGCAATTTTTCAAAAAGGGAATGGACTGGAAAAAATAAAATATATGCTCAGCGTACAGCAATTTATTATTTTACTGTATTTGATGTATTACCTATTATATGCAACATAACCCAGATAGTTTTCGTGGATTTAAGTCAAAGGTGCCCAGCGTAAGATTTCCTCGTGAAATATTCATACTTAAACCCCCTTTACACTGGACGGCGTCCTTTCTGCGTCTATCGTGCGACCATGAAGCTGGCATCACTGTGGTCGTAGAAAGGTGAAACAAGCATTGCTTAGGGTGCAGATAGAATGCTCAATGGTCAGCCAGTTGTCGGCATGTACAGAACAGGGCTGTAATACAGAAGGCAGAAAGGACGCCGTCCAGTGTAAAGGGAGCTTTAAGCACTGATTTCCCAGAGAGTGAACGGTATTTTTCTAAGACTATAACCATTATTTAATCCATCTTTCCTGATACTCGCCGCAAATCTCAACCAGTCTGAGGAAATAAAAAAATAAGCGTATTTTTTTTTAATTTCACCATAACTTTCAGTACTCACTTCCATATTGCGCGCGATTCTAAATTGTGGCAGGCAACAGGAGTTCGTCAAGAAGTGATGAACTGAATTCTTTTTGGTGACATTAATACAAGGCCTTTAACTGTTTAAATGTTTAAGAAATATCACTTATCTTTAGATAAGTTCAGTTAGATGTGGTTTTTGTTTTTCATGTAAAGTGAAAAAACGTGTTTAAAATCATACGCTTTGCTACATTAAGGTACAATGTAACGCATTTCTCACTTACGATTAATATATGCAACACACAGCCGATTTACCTAAACTTGCGTTCCTCATTTCTCAGGGAAAAAGCTGGGTCGGCGCAAGTTCAGAATACTTCCTTTGGGTTTGGTCCACCAGCTGCACGAGTTTTTCAGCATGTTCTGCGTCCATGCACTGGTCTCGTGGCGCAGACGTTGGCTCACGTGCTCCCAAATTATACTACTGGTGATCGTCGCTTTGCTGACCTCCTGCAATCCTGAAGGCTTCTCTCAGTCCGCTCTGGCTGGTCTTATAGCTGGTAACAGCATAGATCTTCCAATTACCATCCACGTAATGAATAGTACATCCAAAGATCCTTTCATCGCGACAGTGGAAACTGATGACTCTCTATGGGCAAAGAGCATCGCAAGGGTGTACAGAAACGTGGTGGCCACGGTTACCAAGTCTCCATCATGGAACCAAACTGTGGACCAATTCTTGCTGGACATGCAGCGTAAAATCGACTCGGTCCAGTTTGCAAATGAGTATATGATTGGAGTAAGCTATGAAATTGACGAAGATGGATACCACATAAGCACGGGGCTTTACAACGGCTACGCCTATCACAGCATGCCACTAGCTCTCAACCTTGTCAACAACGCCTTGCTGAGGTACCTTGCCGGAGACGAGTACTCCATATCGGTCAACAACCACCCCTTGCCATCGTATAGTCGCCACATGGATAACGATCTAATGGATGGCGAAGATGACGACAGTGGAAATGATTCATGGAAGTGGTGGCCCCCTTTGATCAGCGTGACTTACACGTGCATTTTCCTGTTTGTGATGTCGGCACTTCTTGGCTCCTTCGCTATCAGCCCGGTTGAGGAACGCACCAACGAGACCAAGCTTCTGCTCTTCGTGTCCGGCTCCACGGGTATGACGTACTGGTTGTCCAGGTGTTGTTGGGATATAATGATCTATTCGGTACCTGTCATATCGGTGATTGGCTTGGTATTAGCTGGACAGACATGGCCCTTGTACATAGCCGACAGACAACAAGAAACACTAATCATTCTGGTAGTGCTTTTCGGATGGGCCACTCTGCCATTGACCTACTTGCTGTCGTTTAAATGTGAAACTGGTCTGAAGGCCTCGACGTACATCATGATTACGTTTACAACAATAGGTAAGTTCATTTTTATTCCCATGTTTTGTTTTCCACAAACACGTATAAGCTCCCCTTTTTAAATCTAAATTCAAATGCTAAGACCCAAATATGTAATGTGTTTGAGCACCCACTCAGTAGATTTATTTCATAGAGTTCTTACCGAAAATCCCACTTTTATATGAAACAATCATGATAGACTCACATTTAGAACGTTGCTCTCGTTAAAACAAGTAAATTTCAACCCGACGTAGTTTTGTAAGTCAAGTCCGTATTTTCTACATACATTTTTTAATTCAAGCATCGTACATGCACATTTCACAATTTAAAATCGGAAATAAATCCTTATTCGGACAGATTGTTCAAATAAGATTTCCTGTTTTAAAGGCGCTTATTCTGTCGTCCTGGAAGCTTTCCTCCTTTACATCCTCCCATACCGACTACTAGACGTGGTGGATATGGTGACGTCATTTTCCTATCCGGAAATAACGGGCTGGATCTTCTCAGTGTTGTTTCCTCCCTTCAACTTGGTTGGCGGGCTGTTGAACTTCTATATCAATGACTATAACTCGCGGTACTGTCTCCATAGCAACACAACTATGAGCCACATTCAGTGCAACTTTAGTAAGTACTGAAGGCAGGTATAGAACTAATGGTTGTAAAAGTCAATGACAATTGACCTTTTCAAGTTTGAGCTTGAAAGCACGAAAGTTTCAGATAAAAAATTCAGGCTTCTTTGTCCCGTTATTATCGTTATTATTATTTTTAATGGTACATGTACAATGTAGTCCTAAAAGTTAATGCATGCATGGTCTTTTTTTTTAATCAAAAGACTATTTTGCAGTTTCAAACCACTATTTACCTTATTCAGATAGACTACTATAGGGGAGGAGACCTAAGTCTGAACCCAACCTCCACTGACGATACACAACACAAACAGTGATTTCATAAAGATGCCCAGTCATCTTTATAATTTGCCTTAAGCCCCTATTTCACACAGACCACGAATCCCACGAATGGCCATGAATTGACAAATTTCACGATTCGTGGTTGAATCGTAATCAGTTCGTGAAGTTCTTAACAGATTCGTATCTATTCGTAGTCAGTTCTTGCACTTCTTGACCAACAGGAATTGGTGGCAAAAACTC